CTTGGGTTGTTACCGACATCTGGTGAAAATTTCATGTCATTAGCACCTCTAGTAATATATTTACTGAGAAAAATGGTGACGTGTTCAATACTTATTAGTATTTCAAACTCCTGCTCAGTTGTCTCTGCACTCGCAGCCCTGTTGACACAGGTGCAAAGACGTAATGACGATATGAGAGTAGAGGGTAAATTTTAACCGTAGGCCAACTTCATACCGTTTCTGCCATCTACCACATATTTTGCGCAGCCCTAGCAGCAACACAGTCTAAAATGTTGGGGAAGGAAAATAAAGCAGTAAATAAGAAATGGATAAAGGAGCATTTTGCAACTAAATATGTTCAGCCAGAGGACTGGACAAATAAGTACCGTAAATTTTATTTCTATAGAAACTTTTACAGATGGACATCCTTGCTTCACAAGGAGCAAAACAAAATAAATACAAACATAAGCATAAAAGCACAATAAAACAAGTTAATAATCATTAAATACATTTAGCTAAAAGCTTGTCTGAACAACAGTATCTTGAGCTGCTTCAACAGAGTCAGCACCATGGACAAACAGGGACAGGGCCGTCCACAACAGGTCCGCTTGAGTCTTAAACCTGGTTTTAGGAACCTTCAGAAGATTTTGGCCTGAACAGTAAGGAGTCTACATTGAGTGGCCTTTCCACTAACAGTAGCTCACCAGTGCAAAAAAACTGCAGCTCAAAATAATGAAACATTTTCAAAAGAGGTGCAACAGTACAGAAAATTCACAACTTGGTTTGGTTCAGTAGTCCAATGGTTCAACATTTTTTGGATACAAATAAGAGACATGTCCTTCTTAACTTGTTATTTATTTAAATTTATTATGAACATTTGTTTAACCTCAAAAGTAGCTTCTAAATTAAACGTTGCTGAAACAGCAAGTTTCTCAGTGGATCTGCGCTAGGTGGAGTAGTCGAACACAGATCCACTGATCCTTCAACACAGAGCATCTTCAGAAGATAAGCTGATAAAGTAAATTTTAAATATCTGTATTGTTCGATACAGAGTGCATATTGAACCTAAAGCACTGCATTGAAAGGTTCAAAACAGATGCATGTATTGTTGCACCCCTAATTTCCCCTAATTTTCACACGTTCAGTATGTTCTTCAAAGAAAAATTAGGAATGTTTGAATATCCATCATCTACAGGTCATTACTGGATGGTCATAATCTTCACGCCTTCAGGGGCCAACACATCAAAACAGGTTCTGGTTCTGTTCTGGACATCACTGCATGGACTCAGGAACATTTCCACATTTTAGTGAGTGTAAACACAGTTCACCGTGCCATCCACTTCATCCACTAATTAAAGCTCTATCATGCAAAGAAGCCATATGTCAAAACCGTCCAGAACTGCTTCTCTGAACTAAAGATTGTTTAAAAGGGACTGAGACAAAGTGCAGAACTGTTTTGGAAATCACAAACTTCACATTTTTCATACTAAAGAGGAAATGGATCCAGCTTGGTATCAGCTCAGGTCAAGAGCCCGCCTCTCTGATGGTGTGGGGGTGCATTATTGTAGAAAAGTGCAGGTTTTAGAACATCTGCTCCCATCCAGATGGCGTATTTTCAGGGAGAACATTATATATTTTATTAAATCAACACTGAATCGCTGCCTTCATTATAACAGACAGGCTCCATAATAAAGCCTGTCTGCAGAACTGGACCGACTGCAGTCCAGAACTCTTACCAATAACATTTTTGGATTATTGCTTTTCGGTTTTGGTGCTTTTTTTTCACAACATCACCATGTTTTGGATGTTGTACATTTAATATTGGAAAAACAATTATACTGTTGGAAATTAAACTAAATTAAAACAAACTAAACTATTAAACTAAACTATTAACTATTAAATAAATTAAAATAATAATATGAAAAATTACGGGTCAGCTTTACTTTTTAAAAATAATATTTTTACTTGAATCTATTTTGAATCCTTTTTTTCCACAGAACACATCATCCCACCTCTTTAGATGAAGGTCAGGATGAACAACTCTGCCCACTTTAGCCATTTTCTCCATGGCCTCCTGAAATAGAAAACACAAAAACAAAAGCCACTTAATGAATAAATCACGTTACACACATTCTAATTTCACATTAACATTGACCTACTTTTAGTTTGAACACATTCTGGCTCCTGCAGTTTTAGCATGATAGTTAATGATTAATTCATGAGAAGATGTCTCCTCTGTCTGAACCTACAAAATCCAGGCAGCTGAGAAGGTTAGACCTAAATGTAAAAAACAACTCCTGCTATACCTGATAAAAATGTATCCACACTTTAAACTGAAACATAAAAATCAAGCTCTACACTTTTCATGCCTTGTGATTTTATTCAAACCAGCAGATGGAGACACTGAATCAGTTTCCCATCAGTCCAGTTTATTCTACAGCTTTTATTTGGTTCTTGTTGAACCAAAATTTGATATATTAATTGTGCACAAATGAATAATAAAAACATATACTAATATATCATCCAGAGACATATCTTCTCTTGTATGTAAACAATAAAAGCTTCACAAAGCTAACTGTACATCCTCTAACTGTCAGCATGTAGGTGTGTCTTTACCTGCACTGAGCTGTAGTCCTGTGACGCACACGCCCCCAGCACTGCTGCTCCAACTAAAACAGCTTCCATCTGATCTGGCAGCACTACAGGCATTCCTGAGGAGGAAAACACCAACAAGAGCTTTCTGGTTCACAGTTTCTATCAGTTGGTTGAGTTTTACTCTATCTGATGAGTCTCACAAGCCCTGCTGCAGAAAAGCCCTCCCTCTCAGAATGATGCTGCCATCACGTTGCTCAGTGCTTAGTTTTTATCACACACTACTGGAAAACTATCACCAAGTTTGTTATTATTCAAAAACTTGTCATTAGGTCAGAGTCCCACCAGGGTTTCTGGTTCCTCTGCATTTAAGACCTACCTGGTTGTTGAATGGTGCGCTAATAGAGTTCCTTGTGCCAAGTTAAAAACTCTCAAATTATAGTGAATACTGGTTATTGGTGTTGTTACTACTTTTTACTTAGTAATCTGGAACAGGCCAGCTGTTATTTTATAGGAAATATCAACTAAATCTTAAAAAAAAAAAACGTGCAGTCAGATCTGTTGTCTTAAAGCCTTCAACAGAGAATCATAAGAAACTTCTGAATAAACTTTAAAAGTTACATTTCTCTCAGAAAGTTCCAAACAGATTCAGTTTACGTTTAAAGACAGAAAAACCAAGTGTCAAATTAAACAGGACAAAATCAGTTTTTCATATTTGTGGGGGTTCCACAAGGTTCCATTTTAAGACCTTTTATTTTTCGTATATTAATGGTTCACATAAAAGTGGGAGGGACATTCATATGTATGCAGATGATGTACTGTGTGTAATGCAACCCACCATTTTTTAGCTTAAAAAGCATTTAAAAAATCCTGAAGGATTTCTTTAACCTTTACAGTGCACCCTTTGGTGGAGAAACAGATTATTTTGCAGTAGCGCATGCTTCAGCATGTTGTTTATCTAAAAATGGTCCACTTCCAGAGCAAAAGCCAGTTGTTAAAGGAAACCAATTATGGGTCTTAGAAATTTTTATGGTATGTCTGTGGGCTATCCAGACCATGTTCATTCAATTTAATGCACAAAATAATT